CAAAACCTCTTTAAGACTAGAATCTGTCTAGTTGGCCCATCCTGAAGAAGGTTCTGAAGGGTATATTTTCGAAGCTCTTCAAGATTGATTTGCTGCAAAAAGGTTGTATGACGAACGTATTAAGAACCATTTGAAATCCGTATTTAAGCTACAATAAAAGCTATTTGGCAACAATAAAAACCCTTTGGAAGCCATTGTCCCTAGCCACTTGCTAAATCCACTAGAAAATACCATCCGATCTTAACAAAATAATTGAAATATAATCTGATCAAATAAAAATCATATTAAATTTCCAAAATTTTTAAAACTCTTCTCATAAAGTGGCCTAGTTGTAGGTGCCATATTAAATCTTATGTGAAAAATAAGTTCGCCCTCGGAAAACGTCTATTTTGCTTATTATTTTAAATTGAGAAAAAATAGTTATTCTTCAGATTAATCATTAAGCTCAGCCGAGATATGTTTAATCATGTCAAAGGCAACTTGAATGGTTATTGTATTTCAAATATCTGCTCATTGCTAAATCAACCAAAATAAAGTTAATTCCAAGGAAATACACATTGAAAACGAAGATTGTAAAAATCAAATTTAATAATTGTAATATGGCGGTGGCTTAAAATTTGGTTTTGATGGGCCATTTGTTTTGCTTTAATGAAATCCCTAACAAATTCAGGTTTTAAAATGGCTTTTATGAAGAAAACTGGCTGACTGAATTGTATTTATCTAAAGCCATTTTGCTTAATCCTAACCCGTTCGGATTTATGGCAGCATTTATGGAGGCAAAGTTCCCTGCAAAAAGTTAAACGTCAAAGTTTGTTTATCTTTCGATAGTTGCGTTGTTCGATCATTGCAACGAGGTTTACTCCAGCGTTATTCCAGGGGATTTTCTCCCGCTGGATTGGAAGCAGTTACTAAGGAAGTGTGCGGAACTGTTTTGCAACATTTCGCAACATTTTGCATATGTAATGGAACAGCTGGAAGCTCAATAGTTTCCGTAAAAGATCCCCTTTTTCCGAATGGTTCCCGAAGTGCACCATCAAACGGTGCAATTTAAATTAAGTACGCTTGAATGAAATTTTGACCCTTTCGTTGAATAAAATCACTGCTATGAATCCAGCCAATCTCCGCTTACTGACAGCTTCAGTGGTTTGCTGTCGGTAAAAAAGCAAGTTACTTCGTTCATCCGATCTGGAGAAGGCTGGTCTGTTTTTAGACTTCGGTCGTTAACGTCGCTTGAATGTTTCGTCCTACTTTGTCTCCTCTTCGCGATTTCCTTGTCATACATTTTGCTTTTATTCACTATGAGGATCCAACTTTTAAGTTGAATTTGGAAACAGAGTAATTGGTGATTTTATGATACACTTTAACAAGTCTAAACAAAAACAATATATGCTTCTAGCTCTCATTTGAAACCGAATGGTTTTATGGTTGCTTTTATGATGACAGAACAACTTTATAGAGTATTTTATCAAGGTATTAATAAACAATTGCTAATGAAGTTTATGATTGATTTACAGAACAGATTTATGTAGGGATTGAGAGCAGCTTAAAATTTATTTTTAAAACAAGAAAGATTTTGACTTTCTCGACAGACTTTTAAAACAGCAATAAGCTGAATTATTAACCAGGAAGGTTTAACACTTTGAAATGCTGTATTTAAACTAAATGGATTGTTCATTTCCGTTATAATACCATCATTAATCAGGGTGGATGCCAAGTAGCTGCTGAATTGTTACTTGGGTAAAGCGCGGGTTGTGCTTAGTAGGACGAAATTTGATCAGAACCCCTACCTTAGAGTTCTCTGTACAATTCATTTTCAGTTCTTTTTACAAATTCCTTATAAAAATCTCCTCAAAATTAATTTTTAGTTTTAATCAGAACTGTCTTTAAATTATATTTGGAATGAGCTTGCAACAGTATTCTCTTGAAAATTTACTTTGAACCCTATTTAGGATTCCCTTTGAAATTCTACTAAGGCCTACCTTGGAATTCTCTTCACGTTTCCCCTGGGTTCTTGGAATTTATTTTATGTCTGTATTCTTGAATATTTATTTACATTCCAGATTCTCTAGAAAATTTCGCCTAGTTTGATTTCATTAGGTACAAGATTTCAAAAAATAGTCTAAGTATAAAATCTGTATGTTCCATAAACTTTAAAAAAATAAGCCTGATGTATGTTGTTACTGTTATTGCACTTCTTCCACAGTTATTAATTGAAAGCTTTCGATGCCTTTACCATTTTTGCATTAGTATAATTGTGTGGCAAATACAATCATACTCTATGCCCAGGGAAGTCAAGCAATTTTCCAACCCGAAACATTCCTAGACCGGACCGGGAATCGAACTCAGTAACATCCAGCAATGTCTTGCTTTGTAAGTTGGTTGTAGTATAACATATTTTGAAATTCGCGATAAAAATTCCTGTCATCAAACAAATTATATTATTGAGATAGATGAAATGGATGTAATGTCGGCCTAAATTGCCCTGATTTCGGCCCATACATAAATTCAGCAATCGACTAAATTTTCAATAGCGACCAAAAATATCCATTAGTACCGTCCCAATGACGCGTTCCTCTAGATAAAATTGATAAATAGCAGATTTTTTTAGCGATGGACCCAATCTTAAATCCATAGGCCAACATTAGAGCCATTTCCCCTATATTGAAGTAATATATCTAAAAAAAATTGCTTGATAAAAATTCCCTGATAATGCCAGGTAATTCCAGGTAAAATAGAGTTCCCTGAATATTACAGGCATTCCAGATTTCTTCGCTGCTATCCGACATACGTCTCCGGAGTCTTAAAATCCGACTAAAGTTTGAACTCCCTACAGCACAAAACACATTTCACTTCTAATCAAACTTGAGTTAACAATATACCACCCAATCAAGGCCATTAAAAACACTACATGGAAAGCTACTAAATTGTTTCATCCGGTGGTTTATGTTCCTTTCCCACCCACGCGCTCACTAGGAACTTTTCGTGTACATGAGAACCGCATGGAAGGAGCGGAAGAATTTTCCGTACGCAACTTTGACATACTAAACGCGCTCTACAAATCGCTTATACATCGCGCCTACTTGCAGTAGCAGTAACAAACAACATCAACAACAACAGCTTTAACGATTTCCGTTTGGATCGGGGCATTCCATTACGCATCGAATGCGCGACTCCCACTGTTCCCTCCCGTGTTCTTATAGATATGTACCCGCACACATATGTGTACCTATTGCGAATCCAACCTGGGGCTTTCATCCTTTCTTTGGTTCGGAGCGGAGATGAAACAAGCGCTGAAGCAATCGCTGAGCAAACAAATAACGATAAAAAAAAACATGATAGCACCGGAGACCAGCAGCGAGCGAGAGAACCGGGAAAAGAAAAATAACCATTACCCGAAGAGTTCACTGGAAAACATAAAATAAACTTGGAACATTGTTGAGTTACGACGACGACGGCGCACTGTGGGAATTCAGGTGGCCAATAAGAAGAAGTTATGCAGTAAAACAACAAACAACATTTTGTAATGTCGCGTTCAAATAGATACACTTCAGCCATGTCCAGAAAGTAACGTAATTATTGGACATATTTTAAAGGAAATTGAAAATCATGTTCAGAAAATCTTGATTTAGTTTATTGAACTTTGATGTCTGTGTTAGGGAAGAGTGTTTACGCGACCGAAACTTTCTCTTCTAAATCTACATGCTATTTTGCGGCTTCTTAGTGACTGGGTGGATCGCACTCATTGTTGCATGCAGTATGGAGATGTCAAAAAATGAGTAAACTGGGCAAATGTTTATGATATCAACTTTTCCTAAGTTCAAAATGGCGCCCTTTAAAGTTGTGAACGGGCGATTTTTGCGCATTGAGTCTATAATAAGTTTTTAGAAGTGAATCAGTGAAAATGGAGCAGCTACGTAATAGCCTGGATGGCGAAAGATATCAGTAGCTAGTTGGTGTATGTATCTAACAATAGTTCGTTGGTAGTAATAAATACAGAATTATCATTGTCATAATGTTTTTTATATTCTTCCTGGATGAAATAATATATAAGGAAATGGATGTAATATCGGCCTAAATGCCCCTAATTTGGGCCCATACAAAAGTTCGGCAATCGACAAAATTTTCAATAGCGACCAAAAATATCCATTAGCACCGTCCCGATGACGCGTACATCTAGATAAAATTGATAAATAGCAGATTTTTATCGATGAGATCAATCTTAGATCTATAGGCCAACATTAGAGTTATTTCCCCTATATAAAGCATTCATGAGGCATTAATTTGTTTCTATCGAAATGGGTAAGGTTTAAGCAGTTGACAAATGTCATCATCGTTACCCAGTTGCCTCCATAATCCCGTTTACTTAAATTTGGCTTTTGGCTGGACTCATTTATTTTTGACTCAAAAAAGAGTAGCCTCAAAATAGCGTGTAAAGTGACACGTTTAACACCGTCAATTTGGCTACTTGAAATCGGCGACCGTGTTAGGAAAACCACCACATGGTTCATATTCTCTCATACTACTTTGATCTCATTTCGATGATTTTTGGAGCCCGTGTCGATTCTATTTTACAAAAGTGTGCGTATTTCACGATCTATCTGATAAGATTGGACATATCGATGAAAATGTTCTGTTCTTCCTTTCTTAGAACAGTGTGTTTTTTTTCCGAATTTCGTTAATATGTTTTCAACACTGTTCGGAGGCAAACAGACCTTATTTTCAAGATGGTGAAGAACATATCAAGAAAGAGCGTTATTATTCTTTTAAAGTGTAATCGAGTCGGACAGACTTTTTTGACGTAGACTATGTCTTACAGGAAGGTACTGGTGGTAAACCGAAAATCTAAAATTACGACCGTCACGAAAAGGTGTAAGGTTTTAACCGCTTATAACTTTTTCATATATAGATGAAATTTGGATCCAAGTACACCGATCGATAGGAAATAACTCTCACAATCTACTACAATAAACGCGTTTACCAATTTTCCATAAAAACACGTTGAAAAATGTACACTTGAAAAATGATAATTTAAGCACTGTTTTCATGAAATAAACGTTCTCCCTCGCGTTCTCTCCAAACCCAGTCGTCATAATCGAGTACCACTTGGTTGCACATCGTTCTACTTGAATCTGAAAAGAGATAAAACAGCGTTGCTGTCGTGCCTCAGCTCATTTTAGTTTCGGACGGTTAGTGAGTAGGTAGTAGCAGCAGCAGCAGTAGTAGGAAGGCAGCGGTTCATGTTTACGAGTTTGCACCCCGAACCTTGCGCGTCGTTCCCGTCGAGATTACTGCTGGCAGCGATCCCCGTGGCCTTAATGGTGCAAGCACTCCGAAGTGGATCAACCTCGCCTGAGTGATAACGATCCGGCGTTCTACAAATCTCGATTACTTCTTCGAAGGGACGTATCAGCTTTTGTAGACAACGCATTTTATCGTCGGTTTGGCGTAACTGATACTTCACCCATACATACTTACACCACTATCAGGTAGGGGAAAATTTCCCCTATCTGATGGTAGTGTTAGCATGGGTGGGCGAGCTATCAGTTACTCCAAAATAGGATTGGATCGATCTTTTTTAAATCGGTACAAAAGAATCGGTCTTTCTTCATAATGCTGAATTACCATAATGCACCGAATACTGGACGGTCTGTTAACCCGGACATTTAAATTATAATAAAATATTACGTGTACTTTGCAAGATAACTAGTATGTGCGATCCAGGTCGATCCTAAAACACGTTTACGAGCTTTTTTGAGCATAGTAGACAGTGATAATAAACTTTTAAAAGTGTTCTGATCTATGGGCTATGTATCCGAATTTCGAGTCATTACGGTATACAGTAATGACCCAATTTTGTCAGCCTCCTTTTTGAAAATATGTTCTAATGCTCTACGAAACCTATGCGCTTTTTCAGTGGTCATATTACACCACAGTATACCTTAAACAGCCATCTTGTAGATTAATGAGATAGGTTTGTAATTACGGTTATGAGTAATTATTGAAAGAGTAAACTCTTATGCAGGGATGGTCTGACAAAATCGGGTCATCACTGTGTTTTTAAAAACGAAATTAAATATCAAAAGTAACATGTTTTCGAGAGGTTTGTTTATTTATCAGAAGAATTGAATTAGAAGTCTTTAAATTATATTTTGTATCAGTAGGTTACCATAAGAGATTATAAGGAATGTGTTGCTCGCATAAATTCTGCCAATTTTTCGTTCAAAGAGTAACAAATTTGCGAAAAATCAAGAATGAGTGAAATTGTCAGGTTTTATGAGTAAACACAAACTAACAAATACAAAACATCATAATCATAATGTCCTACGATTCCATTATCCCATAAAAACATATTTTTATGCGAAATGAATGAAAGTAACCCTGTTGTAAATCTAACTGTCATAATGCGTAATAATGAAAGAGGCTTCTCATCCTTATTTTATACAACATTAGGAGCGACTATACTGATGCTAAATTTGAGGGTAAGTTCATTAAATTTAGGTTTGCGGTGAATGGAAATCAGTTTTTCGATACACAAAAACAAAATTCGTTTGCCTCTTTGAAGATCGAAAAGATCGAACGAAAGATCGATTTTTACGATTTTTTAATAAATTAAGAATCGCTCTTAAAAATCTCTCAAAGATCGATCCAAGATCGCCCAATCCTACGCCAAATCGAGGATCAAATGCGTTGTTTACAAAAGCTAATACGTCCCTTTCGAAAAAGTAATCAAGAAATACTTCTTGAGCTGTGTGCCAATTGCCGAGTTAAATTTAACTCGTGGTTAAACGTGACATTTCGACAGTTATTTTGAATGTTAGAAAATCCCGGTGTTTTCGATCGATCGGTTTTCAAACAGAACTCAGCCTCGGTTGCCAAAATTCAACTTCTACTCGGTCAAAAATAATCACGCTCGGGTAGCAGGGTTATTCGATAACTTTATATCTGTCATGTGAAATTAGACAATGAGCGTTCAAAAGGGCCTACTTGCAATGATCGATTCACTTCATCGATTTTCTCTTAACATTCCCATAGCTAAGCGAAACAATTCAAGCTGAACATTGCATTAGTAACATTGACAGATTCTCTTCATCGACTTTTTCCTTGTATGTTCAGTACACAGATCGATAAAAGAAGCTTTTTGTCTAACGACAAACACAATAAGAAACGGTTATGTGCTCAAATTATTACCGAAAGAGAAAGTCGATGAAGAGAATCGATCAATGTTACTGAGGACCTAATACAAGGTTTAGCTTGAATATTATCTGAAATTCTTATTTCTGATCAATCTCATTACCACCTAAAATTTTCACGAGCACAAATATCAGCTCTCACAAAACTTTTAACACAGAAACTGGGACTTCACGTTTGCTGCAGTGCAGTACACAAGGTGTTTCAATTTCATGAGTGATGTCACAACCGTCCAAGATTTGTGCCCTAGAAATCTTTAAGTGATAGGTAATATCAGCCATCGTTGTTGGACGCTTCAATGGATCACCTGAAGAAAGCCTTACTCATATCTGATTGTAATTAAGGAACCAAATGTAATAGAATATGTATTTGCATTTTTATGAGGTCCTGAATTTAATCGAGTTTTATTAAGTAGGAAATCCAAAATACGTACAAAGGTTACTTCTACTGTATTTTAAATCAATATCTAGAAAAATGCACGAGAATTTAACTACACAGATGGTTCTGAACGCTTATATTACAAGCTTGCAAATGACGTATAGAGTGGTTATACTCGATTAAAAGTATAAAATATTGACTGATCAGAGATAAACGTTTTTAAGACAATACAAAAACAATTTATAACTATTTACATTTGGGACAACCATCACGATTATCCTTAGAATGCCTCGAAAGGCCTTAGAACCTGTAAAACTTCAAGATCTTAGCTCCAGAATAGTTTGAGGAGCAATAAGTATCTAAATGATGCCATAACATAATGTGCAGGTTGTCAGGAGGCTCTCTTGAGCTTCATGGAGATTTTCAGAACATTGTTCATGACTATATCGAGCCTGTGGAACTTCATGATCTTAGCTCCAGAATAGTTTGGAGAGCATTGAATGTATTATTGTTACCATTCTATGATGCGCATGTTATCATGAAGCTTTACAAAGCTCGGAAGATGTGTTGAAATGTCGAGAACGATTTCTAGGATATTTTTGGAAAAGCTAGAATGCTTCAGGATTTCAAAATGATGTTGAATGATTAATGTAGGCACCGAATTATACACTTCTTCTTCTTCTCCGCATTTCAAGCTTATTCAGGGTGTCGACTCAAAGTCGAAAATAAAATTCCCTGACTTTCCCTGACTTTCCAGTCAGTTTTCAGAAAAATTCCAGTCATTAAAACTTCGTTATTTTAACAGGGTGTCTACTACCTGGAAAAACCTGAAACACCGGGAATTTACAGGAAATTTTATTTTTTCTGGAAAAACCTGGAACATTTAGGGAATTTTGGTTCCACTCAGGGAATTTTCCAATTATCACTTCATTCGTAATTCAAAAGAAGTTTTTCGTTCAGTTTCTCGAAACGTTTCTTAAGGACACTGAACTTGACAAGCATCGGACAGCTAAGAAAACGTGTGCGAACGAGACAAGTTCATTCAGAGAGTCTTGTCACGCTCGCTCTTCGCTGATTTGTATGTGGAGGATCAAAATCGTCGTAAAAAGGAAACAGTCGAAAAAGAGAGACTGGCAACCGTCAAAAGGAAGCATACGAAGCATGTATTGTATAAGAATAAGCATGCCAGACAGCAGGTCTGAGACCCAACATAGAATTTTTTTTGAGCTTCAGAGAGGGTCGGAGATCTACTGAGAAATTTGTTGAGCCTCAGGGTAGTTCGTAGATCTTGAGAACAGAACTACAAACAAATTAAAAGTTATTAACAGAAATTCATAAAAACAAAATCACAAGAGAGGTCGTAGATCTTCAGATAAATGTTCAAAGAAATTTTCAAAACTTCAAGCAAGCAAAAATAATTTCAAATCAATTTGTAAAACTATAAGAGAAATTTTACAAATCTTCAGGGAAATTCGCATAACTTCAGACAAGTCCAAGAATCTACAGTGAAATATAAAGTATTTCACAGAAGTTTGAAGATCCTCGAAACATTATTCAACATCAGAAAAGTTCGTACATCACCAGAACAAAACTACATAACTTTGAAAAAAATTACAGGACTTCAGAAAAAATCACACGAATCTCAGAAATGTTAATGGATGTTCAGTAAAAATTGCAGAACTTCAGGGATTAAAAAAACATATTTACACGATTTCAGGAAAATTTGTAGATCTTGAGAGAGACATTTAAAACTTCAAAGAAGCTCAAATATTTTCAGATAAATTTTTGACAACTTTAGGTAATCTTTAAGGAAATTTTCAAATCTTCAGGGTAACCCTAGAGGAATTTACAAAACATCAGAGAAGTTTGCAGATCTACTGAGAAATTTATTGAGCCTCAAGTTTTTTTTTTGTAGATCTTGGGAATAGAGCTACGGAGCTTAAGAAAACTTTACAGAACTTTAAAAAAAATTGCAGGAATTTGACAGAAAGTTTCACAGTTTCACACAAATGTGAGATCTTCAGAAAAATTCGTTAAATGTCAGAAAAGCACCTCAATTCCAAAAACAAATCGCAGCTAAGTACAAAAGTACAATATTTTGCAGAACTCCATGGAAGTCGAAAATAGATACATCTAAAGAACTTCAGAGAAGTCCGTAGACCTTAAGAGAAGTCTGTAGAACGTCAGAAAGTTCGTACGTTTTTAGAAAAATTTGCAAAACTTCAGCAAAACTCACAGATCTTCGGGAAAGTTCGCCGATCTTTAGATCAAGAATCCACAAAGAAATTTAAAGAACGTTAGAAAAGTTCGAAGATCTACTGTAAAATTTATTGAACTTCAGGACAGTTCGTAGATCTTTAGAGCAGAAATACAGTACTTCAGAAAACTTTACAGAATTTGAAATGAATTTTAGGAACCTCAGAAAAGTTCAAAGGGTAGGTCGTAA